GGACCTGCTTGTGTGCAAACCATTCATAGCACAGTCTGAGAATGACAGTCACATCCCAGCCTGTTTTGTTCCAACAGCTGGAGCCTCTCCCCAAGGAAACCCTGCAGCAGAAGCCCAGTGCCAACGCGGTGCACTCCCTGGAGGCAGTGATCCGGGTACAAAGTAAGTGTGGTGAAGGCCCTTCCTTCCTGCACAGCAGGCTGTCAGGCGTGCGGGAAGGGTGGACTGACAGGCAGCAGCTAGTTCTGTCATTTGCCTTTTCCTTGGTATCTCAGAGTTCAAAAGGAAAGGCTCTGCTTCCCTTTTCCTCAAGACCACAGCAGGAGAGAGAAAAGGTTAAATTCCCTTTCCACGCCTGTTCTGGTGCCATTGCAACACACCAACAGCTGCAGCTTGTTGTTTAAAAACCTGCACAGGAAACACAAAGGTGTATTTACCATCCAGTCTTGTTTTGCCCTGAGTTACCATAGGCTGCCATCACAACTCAGCTGGGAGCAGCATCCTGAGGTTGTGGAGTTGGGTCTACAGGTTCTGACCCTCAAAGAAGCTCCTGTGCCCTGTGCACCATTTTAGGTGCTTGACTGAGTACTGGCCAGTGGAGACAAGCCAGGCACTGATCCTGCCTCTTCTGTTTCAGGCCAGTACTGGAGCTCTGTGCGGCGCTTTGCCCCCACTGTGGCCTATTCATTCCTGGAAGCGCAACATCATGACACAGAAGAGGTGGAGACGGTGACAGCACTGGCCTCACTTTCCGTAATGGCAGAGAAAAGGTGAGTCCTCCTTGGACTATGAAAGCGGTTTCATGGGTGAAAGTCGGTTTTGCAGGCAAACTGTGCACACATGCGCACACACAGCTATAAATATGGCTGCTACAACATTTAATTCAAAAGATAACCACTTGAAAGAAGGGAAGAAGCAAAATTTCCCAAATGCAAATCCTACTGGAGCTTATGTACCCTTCTGGGGCACGCTGGGAATTCCATCAGACTTTTTTTTTTTAGGAACGGCTGAACTGCATTCGTTTGCAGGAGGAAACATTTCAAAACGGCCATCCAGTGAGGATTGCAACATCTGTTTCAGTGGAGGCTCACACTTTGAAGAGACAGCCACCACTTTTAGAAAGAGCCAGGGTGATATATTAGATGAGAACATTTGATTTAAATCTGGGAAACTTGGGTTCATGTGCGTACTTCTCTATGAACCCACCGGGTGGCCTCACATCCAGTCTGTCTCTCAGGGCTGTTGTGAGGACAGAATGCAAATATGGTCAGTAAATAGATTGGTGGGCCCAAGTTCATGATAACTTTATTCCACACCTCCAACAAGAAACAGTCAAGGATATGCTTATCTTTTGACACTCCATATTTGGGGCTGGAAGTGAATTTACTCCTAGTTCAGGTTGTGTGTTGATCCTCAGCTGTTCACAAATTATGCAGCACAGACGATATATGCTCTCCTACCCCAACCAGGAGGTCTGTTTTTGCTCATTCAGCACCTTCTGAACAGTCTTCAAGAACTGTCCCATAAAGTGTGTGTTGCGGCAGTCAGTCCTTGAGGTTACAAATGTGCATATGATGGTTGCCAGGTGACCTGCACAATCTCAACATTCTCCAGTAGAGAACCCTGGCTCTTTAGCCACCTGTGATTTTACAAAGGTATTATCCTAACTGATTTCCTTTGCTTTTAGGCGGCAGGATGAGCCAATGGACGAAGAGCCCATGAACCAGTGAAGGCTTGCTTCATCCTCCTACAGGAACACAGCTTCCTTTGTGGCTTCTTACTCATATCACAGCCCAGGCTCCTGCCGGCCATGCAGCCCATGTTCCCCTGGAAAACGGACTAAAGGTTCAGGCAGAGACTCTGTAGAAAGGGCCTGTGGCAGGTGGCCAGGATTAATTGGTGACTCTGGGAGCTGCCTCATGTGGAACTCCACAGGGCAAGCAGCGGTCGCAAGCCTGAAGTCCTCTCTGGAATCGTCTTGGGTTGAAAATCTGACATCACAAAGGGGGACACAGGGTGGGACACAGGGGGCTAGATGCAGGACTTGAGAGTTTGCTCTGACGTTGGGGTGGTGCCTTTTCCCCTCCAGAACCAAAGACCCCCCCCCCGCCCCCCCCCCGCCCACCACCACTTGGAAGAAGCCTGCTGAGGAGGAGCCAAGATGCTATTTCCCTTCCTTTTTCTAAGCAAGACATCGTTACCTTATGCCAGGATGCCCCATCATCACAGGAGCTGGGTTTTGCAAGGGGAGAATTTTCAGAAGAAGACATTTGGATGTCAAACAGCTCCTGTTAACCACTGTTCCAAACTTACCCTTTTTGTCTAGGACCTTCCTAAGTTGCACTATATACAGATCATACAGACACACTTTGTCTACCTTCCATAGAACTTTGTGGGGAGCAATTGCACCTCCTTGTGGACTCAAAGCCCTTTGGCCACTGTTTCACCATCATCAAGGCGCTATGTAAATACACAACCCTATGGTGCTTGCAGCTGGTTTGTTTTTCCCTGATTCGTGAAAACAAGCAGCCTTATTCCAAAAAGCAAACTTGGGGTGGGGGTAGAATGGAAAACATGAGTGAGGAATTTGTCCTCTGTTATCCCAACCAATATGCAGACTTTGGATTCTTGTAAATCTAATTTGTTTGGGGTTTTTTTCCCATGTTCCTTTTGTTTGTTTGAAAGACACAGGCTTCTAGTCCTTATGTTTTAAAATGTGCAGATGCTCCATTATTCAGATGAGCAGTGTTTCTGTTCCACATAGCTGCTTTATGGTTTTATGGGGTGGTAGATAATTCTCACCTGTAAAGGGCTGCTACTGACACAGCAATCTTTCTATGAAAACAAAAAACAAAAGCACTTAGATGTAGAGAAAAGGCATGTCGTCTTCATGCAGATTGACATGTGACTATTCTGCACACTTCTGTTTTGCTGTGTACAAGCAGTCTACGTATATTGGAAAGCTGCAGTCAGTTGGTGTTGGGCACCCGTGGAAATGAGCCCAATGCCATTTTTTCCTACGCTGAGGAATTTCCCTGTCCTGGAAAATTGCCCTGTTCAATGGGGCCGCAACCCATTGTCAGTGGCCAGATTTGAGAGGTGGGTGGTTTCAACACTGCAGGGTGGTCTGGCTAAGGAATGGGGGTGGGGGGAGGATGCAGTGTACAGACTGTATAGAAACCATTGGATCTCAAGCAGCCAGTAAATTGAGCCTTTGCTGCAGCCCATGCATGTTGCTTCTTGTAGCCCAAAGCTGGACCATTCTTCCATGTGTTTGCGCTCTGCTTCCATTTCTCAAACAACGGCACAACTAGAACCAGCCCTACCAGAAAGAAGTGCAAAGCAACCTGCTTTAGGCAGCACCATGAGAGGTGGATCCTGGGTGGGTGAAGGCAGGAATTGGTGTCCAGACCTTCTACTAAATCAGACCCTAGGTTCATCCAGCTCAGTGGTGTCTAGCATTTCAGGCAGGGTTCTCTCCCAGCCCCACTTGGAGATGTTGGGGATGGAGCTTAACGCCTTGGGCCTGCAGACCAGATGCTCTACCACTGCTGAGCTACCTATGGCCCTTCCACTGGTGCGGAGGGGGGAAATATTATTGAGATGCTATTGAGCTCTGTTTCAGGCAGCACTGAACACAATACACTAGCCATATCCAAGATTGGTACTGGCACCGGAGTCACTTCCTTCAGGACTTGCTGCAGTCATGCTGTAATGACAACCTGCTGGTCTAAACAAGTTTTCTCTACCTCCTTTCTCCCCACTGAACTGAGACAGCCTGCATCGTTCAGAAACACAGGACGCTACAAAAACCGCAGTCTTGTGCCACCTTAAAGCAGGGTCGGGGAGCATATTTCAGTCTGAGGACTGCATTTGCTCATAGGAAATCTGCCAGGGAGGCAAAAGCAGGCCAAGCAAATGGATATGATTCTTTCCTCGGTATGGTAGTCTACATTCCAACAAAAGTCAGAGGTTTCTCCTTTCACACATACCTGTCTCCAGTCAGGCAAATGAGACATTACCATAGTTTACAGATGCATCCCAACCAGAGGAAAAGCCCTTGAGGCAGGGCATGGAGCAATCTGGAGAGGGGTGTGGTCTGAGGAGAAGGCATGGCCTGTGGATCTGCATTTGGGCCCCAAACTGGAGGTTCCACACAGCTGCAAATGAAGTTTGTTGCGCTTTGGACTTCTTTGACTTCAGCTTCCTCCATCAAATGCATGAATGGTAATTCTCAGTTGGCAAGTGTGTATACAGATACACGTGTGAAGCAGGGGTGGTGAACCCCTTTTTGGACAAAGGGCTGCCCTCAACCTTTGCCGACCCTCCAAGGGCAGCATACCAGCAGTGGGTGTGGGTAAATGTCCCTGCCCACAAAGGCAGTGACTGATCCTTGACTGATCCAATGTGTTTTGGAGCTCTGGAAAATTAAGGATCCAAAACATGCAAAGCCTCGCTGAGTACAGAAGGCTTCCCTGCTGCACACAGTTCAGGTGAAGATGCAGCGGGCGATGGAGACAAGGATGGGGAGGGAGGCTAGCACACTTGCGCATGCTCCCCCATCATCACACATTGACAAGTCCTCCTCAAAATGCATAAACAGGGCTGGTGGCTCCTCCACAACCTGCAGTAGGTTGACTAGGTAAAAAAAGACCCAGGGCGCCTGCGTCTTTAACAGAGGTATAGAAAAGGGGATTTTGGCAGCAATATCCTTGCACAGCATTTTTATTTAATTTTAAAGTATTTATAGCTGCCCTAACCAGCCCCAACAGCCACCAGGCGGCTTGCTGATAAACAGCTGTTTGTTGAAGCAGATCTGCAGAGTTGAAAGTATGAGAAATGGGCTGAGTGCTCTGTCCCAGGTGTGGTGGTGACAGTAGCAGTGCTGGTGCTGATGCTGAGGGTGGTGGCTTCTGGAGCTCTGCCCAAAAAGTGGGTAGATTTTCTTACTGAGGCTCTGTTTCCTGCTTGGCAGGGGGTTGGACTCTATGGCCCTTGTGGTCTCTTCCAACTCTATGATTCTATGGAGTGCTGCTCTTTTCCAGAAGCAGGTATTGATCATAGAATCATAGAATCATAGAGTTGGAAGAGACCACAAGGGCCATCGAGTCTAACCCCCTGCCAAGCAGGAAACACCATCAGAGCACTCCTGACAAGTGGTGCCTCAGTGGTGCCTCAGGCATCAGTGGTGCCTATGAGAGTCAGCACACATCTTGCTAAAAAGGAAGGGTGCTGGGTATGGGCGTAACCAGGATTTATGTTGGGGAGCAAGTTTTGGGGTGGGGCAGAACCAAGTTATCTGCAATGCAGTTGGTTAGTTAAGTAATTTTTATTTATTTACTTGATTTAGAGGGGCATCTCTCTCTCTCTCTCTCTCTCTCACACACACACACACACACACACACACACACATCCTCCTGGCAATGCTCAAGGTGCTGAGTCCTCCATTGTGAAGTCATCTTGTGCTGATCTACCTCACCTCCGGTCATAGCAGGGGCCACCACAAAGAAAGCCTTGTTGCACTGCCTAGTTTCATGGCACAGTGAGATGGTTTCTTCCTTCCAGGGACTGAACTTGCCTGATTGAAGCAAGACTGGGAAAGTGAGCTTCCTGGCTAGTGGAATTGGCAAGGGTGATTGGGTCTCCTGGGACTTCCTAGGGCCAGACAGAGCATGCATGTGCAAATGTGCTAAACCGTTGACTCACTGATTACCAGTCTGGAATCAGACTCTCTAAGCAGGGGGAGGTCACAAGGTTTAGATGTGTGTTTTGTTTGGGGTGGGTTGAGGTATGCCAGACCTTATTAAAGAGTCCTGCTGCTGGCTAAGTGGGAAAAGGAGAGGCTGCTTCAGCCTTTGGAGGAAGGGACGAGAGAGCTGCAACAGGAAGTCAGATGACAAGAGTGCGGAGACATTTAATTACTTCCAGACGTGGCGGTGATGTTGTTACACATATTAGGATGCAGGACTGAGTCACACTCGCAGGGGTATCGGGATCGTTAGGGTGCTGGCTGCAACATGAGCCAGAAAGCCAGAATGTTAAGCACTAAAATTCCCCGATTACTAAGAAAGTCTGAGAAATGGAGCATTTTTGACACCCAGAGGTCAAACTCTCTACATCATCATAGAAGGCGCTCCAACACAAAGCCGCTTGCAGGAGGAAATGCTGGTTTATGGGAGTTCCAGGGCCCCTTTCACACACTTCATGTTCCTGCCAGCCTTGGAAAGTGGTTTTTTCCCCCCTCATTGCAGCATTATGAGATTCCAGGGTGCTGGGAAGTGTAGCTTTGTGAGAGGCAAGCTATGGTCCCCATGGTTCTTCGGGGAAGTCAAATGGACAAATAACCTTCATAGTTTATTCATGGTCTAGTAATCCCACCCATTTCTCCATAACCACAATTGCTCAGCCCAGAGGTTTTTGCCAGCCATTTTATTAGGCATCCTTTAACTGGAGATTCTGGCCATTTAACCTGCGACCTTATTTGTGCCAAGCATATGCTCTGTGACTCTTGAATGATGGCTTCTCCCAACTGAGGGGTGTATGTTTGTTACACTTTTAGGGGAACAGAGAGATGGTTCCATGTCATCAGGGGTTCTCCATTTGTGGAGGGGGACTTCCCCAGGGAGGTTTCTTTATAACTCTTCCCAGTTAGCATCTTCTCTGGGGAGAAAGATAAATGCCAGCTAGGGTTGCCACCTTTGTATCTCAGATCTGATCTGAATGATAAGAAGACATTCTATAGGTGCAGTATGACAAGGTTGGACCTCAATTTTCAAGCTACCTGCTCTCAGTCACGCCCATTGAATGCAGCTACACTCGGCCTCTTTCCCTCAACTCCTGTCTTTCCCGCCAGGCTTCACAACATCCCTTCTTTCCAGATACCACCCCATTCTGTTGATAAAAATCACCCCCGGCAATGGGCTGCTTAGTTTTCCAGGAACCTCATCCTAGCTTCCTAGGAGAAAACAGTATCTGATGGATTTCTGTTTATGCAGCTATTGACATCCTACAGCTTGTGTGTGCTGCTGCATGTGGGCAGCAGGGGCTGCTCTGAGTCCAGCAGCACCTGGGGGCTGTTCCACATGCCTAAATCTGCCCCCCTCCCAGATGCTTAGCATCTCCTGTGCCTGCTTTTTTGCTGCAAGAGGCTAACACAGCAGCCCTTCTGGGAATTGATCGCATTTACCATTCGTTCTTTCCTTTTCACATATACCACCCTCTCTCCCCACTCCAACCCCAACTCTCTCTGGGTACATTTGTGCAAGCCCTGATCTCAGGCCACAAGCCCATTTTTCCATCTCAAAAGGTAGCCTTGCAGCAAGATGTAGCTACAGCCCACTTAGTGGTGGATGGGGCTCAAAAGTTAAGTGAGATGTGTTTGATTGGTGCAATCTACTCTAAGGTCACAGTGGCCTCAATCCATGAAGTGAACTGCTGGGGAACGATGCTGTGCTCTTGCCTAGGCTTAGTAGAGGAGATGGGAAGAGACAGTAGGAAGCAAGCTTCTCTTAAGAGCTATTCTAGGAAAACAAACTTGGGGAAATGGAGGCAGCAAGTCCCTCAGTTTTGCAGCATCCTGCTGGATGATGAAAAGCTGCTCAAGGAAGGTGAGTGTCAAGACTGACTTTTGTGGAATATTGGAGCTGTGTTTTAGATTCTGTGTGAATCGGGTTGCTCATATACAATACAATAATATACAAAACAATACAATAATGTTTGTATTGTGTGCAGTGGGGAAGAGGTGATGCCAGGCTAGGTTCACATCCACACTGCACATCTAAAGCCTGGAATTGTATATCTAGTAAAATTTGTGACCAAAGGGTTGCCAGCGTTATTATTGGCAGTTCCTGTACCTTAAGTAGCAACTCATCGTGCAGATATTTAGCACTTTGTTTTCACAGCAGGAACAGCTCTCCTTGCTTTCCCTCTAAGTTCCAGGCTTCTGCTGAACTTTTTAAAATGTTTGCTTAACTTCAGCAGCTAAAGGCAAATGAGCAGGAGCAGTTCAGAAAGCTGACAGCCTTGTTGGTAAAGCTCTCTAAAAAACATTCTTACTACAAAATCACATGTTATATTGGCTGGAGGATGTTGGCTTGTTTTTGAATCCTGGAAAATATATTAGTCTTATCTGCAAACAAGGGCACCATCATAGCTTTTATTGTGTTTTGAAGTGCTTGAGATTTAGCAAGATCCAAAAGCCCTGAATTGGGGGGGGGGGGTGTTTAAACAATTGCAAAACAACTTTTTAAAAAAGTCTCCCTCTGTTTCTCCATATGTATGTTTATACATCTATAGCATTATCAGATCAGAATAATTACAAAGTACATCCTTCCTGCCATTTGCAAAGGGATTTATGCCCTTTGAATGTCTTTCCAGGGACCCATATAACCATACATAACAATAGTCATTTGTCTTGTAGAATCAGGGAACTGTTCAAAGATACAGGTGCTTTGTGTTCTTTGAAACAGGAGGCTAGGGTTGCCAGCTGTTTTAACACCCTCTTCAGCTGTGCCTGTATAGCAGTTGGATCTGCAGGCATGAGCCAGCAATGTTCCAGCTGGCAGTGAAAAGCTTCCCATTCTGGTTTTTGCAGATAATCAAGCTACTTCTAAAGGCAAGAGCAGGTGACCCCCTTCCCTCCTCCTCCTATCTGGGAACGGGAACTGTCTGCCTGCTTCTCACACCTCTCTAAATCAGGAGTGGAGAACCTTTGGCCCTCCAGAGGCTGCTGAACTACAACTCCCACCAGCTCCAGTAAGCATGGTCAGTAGCCAGGGCTACTGCTCTCTATGGTATATGTTCCAGTGGTCACCTCTGGCCTCATCCCTTTTGCAAGACCCCAGTTTATGTACCATAATTCAGTAGGTAGCTTACAAGCAAGGGCTCGGCAGTTATTCTGCCCCCTGTGAAGCAATTCAAAGAACGTGTCAGTTACATTTAGTGAGGAAGTGTTATTTTCCAGTCTTAAGCCACCCAACAAGGGGAATGATGGGATATTAGCACAGTCGCCAAGTAACCCTGGCAAAGAGAGAATGTAGAAAGCTGCCTTGGACCAGTCAGGCCATTTTCCAAGGACTATCAACTCTGCAGGATCTTGGTGGAGAGGGGTTTCTTCTGCCACCATCAGTTTCCTGATCCTTCTACCTGGAGATGCCAGAGACTGAGTCTGCGACCAGAGCCGGCCCAAGACGTTTTGGCACCTGAGGCATACCACAAAATGGCGCCCACCTCCTTGTCAGTAGTGAGTGAAGATCTAAATCAGAAACAAGGGTGGCAGGAGGCCAGCAGACCTCCTCTTTGCCCAGAGGCCACTGTAGATGCAACATGGGGAGGACTGTCAAGGAGGCAGCAGATCTGGCCTTGAAAGAGTGTGCCACATCTGTCGCTGTCACATGGCAGCAGGCAATGCATTCCTTGGAGGCCGGATGTCTGGGACATTGTTTGCAAAGTATCATCATCATCATCATCATCATCATCATCATCAGGACTTCTATACCACCCTTTATCATAAGATCTCAGGGCAGTTCACATCATGTGCTCCACCACTGAGTTGCAGTCTCTCAATGAAGGCCTTGCATCCTTTGCAATCCACTGTGTTCAGAAAAAAATGAGTATGTCTGAAGTATAAATTTGGGTTTGTTTTATAGGCTACTTTAAGATTAATGGCTCACCCAGTCCCACAGTTCCTGGGAATTGTGGTTTGGTGCCGGTTCTCAGAATTCTCACAGAACTACATTCTATGAGTCCCTCAGTTCCCAGGGTTCCCTGGGGAGACAGAATGACCACTGCACCACTTACTGAGCCTGTGCTGCTGATAGATACACACCCACCCCAGAAGCATTTGGTTTCTCTCATTTCCCACCACCATATGGTGACCATTTAGCAGCGGTGAGTAGCTGTGTTAGGCAATAGCAAGGTGTGCTTATCCCAATGAGACCTGGGCCAGAATGGGCCATTGTGGGATCACTAGAAGGGGCAAGCTGACCTCAATGGAGGAAGCTGGGTCTCACCAGGCCAGGGCAGGTCCTGCTTTTTAGGGGCAGGATTTAGCCTTGAATCATAAACTAGCACCACCAAAAGTGTAATGCTCCTGAGCATGTACAGAATATGTTTTTTTCTGGCAGCGGAATAACCATAACACCATTGGGAGAGGAGGGAGTGAGGCTTTTAGAGCTCAAGTCCTTGTTGAAGGAGGGTGACAGGAGATCACCTCAAGAGGATTTAAGTCATTCCTGTTGTTTTTGGTCCTAGTGGATAGCTGGAGGGGAGCAGGTGGAAAGAACCTCCCAGGAAGCAGGAAGCTATTGAAAATAAAACAATTATTCTTAAAACCTGCAAATTCAAAAATAAATTAGCTCATCGAAAGAGTTCTAGATATACATTTTGAGATCAGCTTGTTACAAGCAAAAGCAGTCTGGGCCTGCTTTGAGTCACTGCCTCGCTTATGTCTGCAGTTCTTCCCAGAGTAATGGTGGAAAGTCTGGATTCTCCATCCTAGATCTCAGCTGGGCTCTCTTCTCCCCAAGAGGATGGTGATCATGTTTGGTCTCGTTTTTGAGCTGGCGATGGAGAATCATACAGAGTATATGCCCTGAGTTTCTCTGGAGAAGAGTTCCTCTGTTGCTGCTCTTGGGTGAGGCAGAAGCGTGTTACCTGCTGGCCACCTTCCTGAATGGACCTGGAGAAACAAAACCCACAAAAAGAAATTAGTGGCAAACTCAAACTGACAACTTACAGGGGGTATTTGTATGGGAGAGGAACAAACAGCCTGGCCTACTGGTCTGTATTTATACTGCATGCAACAAGTACTATCACCATGGCTCCCCCCTGCTAAGCAGAACGGATGAGGCCATCTGGGTGCCTGGGCGTTCGTCTCTCAGCAAGTAGCTCATTGCATGGTAAACAAGTTTCTAGCCTCTACTGCAATGGGAGATGGCAGGATTGAATGCACTCAACCCGGCACATAGAAAACCAGTATGTCAAGAAGGGTAAGCTACAACTCTTACCACAATGTGCTAGATTTCTCTGTGCACAGAGGCATTAAAAAATTCATTTGTGCCCTGGTTCATTTTTTTCAATGCCATTATTGTTGGTTGGTATGCTATATATTGCTTTGAAAATCCTTTGGGCAGAGCTGTATTAAGAAATGCAATGTATAATAATAAAATTCCCTGTCTCCAGTCTGAAGTGATAACAATCAACTGAACAGGTTAAACTATCATCTGTTTGTTCAGGGTAGTCTCAGGAGGTTAGGCCCAAACCTTCAAGGATGTTGACATATGGAAGACACTGGCCTGGCCTGAAGGTCTTCCTCCTTTTTGCTTCTGTTGGAAACCCTTCATCTCTAAAAGTTGCACCTTCTGATTGGCTGGGCTGGCTCATATTTAGTGCCTCTCTGTTCCCCAGTCCTCTCCGGGGCCTGTTCTCCAAAGGAAATTAAATGCATAAAACCCTTTTGAGATGAGAGGGCTGATCCTTTTGAACTGCATTTCCTTATTATTTAAATGAAAGCAGCTGAAAACCACCATCCTTCCAGGGATCACAAACCAGATGAGGATTATATATATATATTGATCAGCAAGTCTTTGTAACTCTATCTTGCTTTTAAGATTTATCTGCTCCTAACGAGTGCTAAGTACCTACAGTCCAGCTCTTTATGTTACAGGAATACTCCACTCTCCAAGTTACATGTAGCACTAATGCATTGTGTAAAGCTATCATCAAAGGTCCCTACACACCACCACACTCCCACACCGGGTCTGGGGTGGCAGGGCTGCCACTTATGTTAAGTGAAAGAGGCGAAGCTCAGAAGTCGTCCTTGCTCGCCTCCTCTTGAGCTCCTCTTAGGAACCACCATCCTCATGGCCAGACCTATACCATTAGGCAAAGTGAGGAGGCAGGTGGGGAGCAGGGACACTGTGGGGTCCCTGGCTATTGCTCCCATCAGCTCCCATCAGCCCTGACCCATCAGCCCTGACCAGCCCTGACCACTGGTCCTGCTAGCTAAGGGTGCTGAGGGTTGGAGTCCAGCAATGGAATACAACAAAGTGTGTTGAAAATAGCCATAAGAGACAGGTAAAACATCAGAGTAAAAGCATCCTGTTGCAATGTTTGTTTGTTTGTTTGTTTGTTTGTTTGTTTGTTGCATGTTGGCTAATGGGCCAAAAGTAGAGAAAAGGGAGGATCAGACATTCTGAACCTTTTGGGAGCTGCATGGAGAAAGGATTTCAGCAGCTGTGCCTGCCAGGCCTGCCGGAGGGTCCTTCCACAGGGCACTTCATTGTGGACTTGGGGCTGCCAGCACAAGTTTCATGCAGCATCTACACAGCACCCTCATCCAAATGCCACCCTCTTTTATTTTCCAGTTTAATCTTGGTTAACTGTTTCCACCGAAAATCTGATTAAGTAAAATCTTGCTGGCTGAAGGTAACTAGAAGTGGGGCTAGCCAGATCTCTCTTGGCCCGGACTTGTGGAGCCTGGGATTGTAGCCACAGAGAAGGCCCCCGGCACCATAAATCATCAGCACCTTAAATTACTTGGACTAAATCATCAGCATAGCCACATCACATTAAATTACTTGGATTTTCTTTTCACACTTTCAATGCCTGCTCCTCCCCTTATTTTCCCCTCTTGTGTCCCTCCTGGAATGCAAGGAAGGAGGAGAAATGGACCAGCTGATGAGCTGCTAAGGCGGTCAGCTTTCAAGCATGCCAGTTGGGGCTGAACTACACATGACAGCCTTGGCTGGGTCTGCAATCTGTAACTGACGCCCTAAAAGCACAGTTGAGTGTTTCTTCTGCCATTGGTGTGAAAGGCAACGATGCATTTTTAAATGTTCTTATACTGTCATTGTGCATCTTGTGAGTGGAAGTAACTGAAGCACAATTCCGCTTCCCGCCATTTTTGCAGAGGTGTATGCATTTGGGAATGAGAACAGCTTCCTGCTTCCTTTCTCTTTCATTTATCGCCATGCGTACAGAACACTTCCAGAGGAACTGTTTGTGGAGCATTCATCCTGATTTGTTTGCAGGGATGTTAGACAAGGGAAGTTATTTCATGAACATTCATTCTGGTTTGCTTATTTGGGAAGGTTGGATGAAGTTGCGTCAAAGCAAGCGTTGCCTCACACTTGCCAGTGCATTTCCGTCCATCAATTTCCTTACCACAAAACTCCCATTTTAATGGAAGTGGGTTTGTTGAGCAAGACCTCCCAATAAACTATAATTGTGCAACCTGAATTCGCTGGTGTGTGATTGGATCCCTTCTGAAAAGAGTGGCAGTGCCCCCCACCCCAATCTTTCTCTCTTTTTCGTCCTTTCCTCCCCCAACAAACTAATGTAGGAAAACCTTGTCAGTTTTCACCAGTTTCTCCACCTACACCTTTTCTGCTTTCTACTGAAACTGGCAAGTTTAGGGGAAACAATATGGATTTCCCTGATGCCAGTTTCTCTCGAAGTCTTCCTCTCTGTTTTCTCATGAAATCGATCAGGCTTTCCTCAGTCTTGTCAGTTTCACTGCAGAGCTCTGTGTGTGTGAATGAAAGTGTTGGAGCAGGCTAGAAGGATACCTTTTGGGGTTGTTTCCAAACTTAGATGCAGACATAGGAGCCAGCTCTAGGGGCTGTGGGGCTTTGGCCCTCACAATGAAATATTTGAGGGGGCTGGACCCCCACAAAGTTTATGGGCATTCCCATTGAAATCATGTGTGTGCACTGCGTCATGTGATTGGTTATGCAGGGCGGGGCTTACCTGGGCCCCCACAATATTTTATTCTAGTTGGCCCTCCTGGATGCAGAACAGTGTGAGCCAAGTTCCCACCCAGGGAAAGGGAATGTGATGACACCTGAAGGCGGGAACAGCATGACTTCTGGAAGGGGCCATGCACATTATCTGATGCGGGGGGGGGGAGGTATTCCAAAGTGCTTTTAAATGCACTTGTGGCTTTTGGCTGATGCTGCCTCTGTGGGCTTTTCCAAAACTACAAAGTGGTGGCTTTTTTCTCCCTGACAGCTGAATTCAGGCACACTTAAAAGTGGTGCCAATAGGCCACCAGTGGCAGCATCATATTTGGAGTGCATCTCCTTTAGCCTTTAGAAGATCTAAAATTGCAGGCAGAGGAGATCCACATGTGTTTGTTCTCTCTTGCATTTTCAAACCAACTCAGCATTTTGACTCAGAAACAAAGTTTAAAATACAGGTTGTAAGAAAGAAGAAAGCAACATGATCACTAACTAAGAAGGGAAAGGAAGTTGAGGAGAAGTTTGGTTCTCCATAGTCATAGGGAATATTTAAGTTTCTGTCTGTCTGATGTGGTCAGAAGCTCTTGCTGTACTTGCAGCAGCTTGAGATGCAGTCGGTTGAGTAAAGCTTTAGCATTTGTCTCTTAGAGACACAGTTACAGTGACCTTTTCGAAATGGCCATCCTGTTGCTCATCGCATCAGTGGTCACCGTGGGTGGGCGGTGTCCCATCAGAGCAGTGAACTTGCGCAAGGTTGCTGCTCCGACATTAAGCTGCTTGCGTAAGTAATCCATTCATGTCAGCAGGGGCTTTTGAGCAAGCGGGATGCGGGCAGATCGTTGGGATGGATTCACTGCTTAAATGTTTTGCAGAGTTTTCTCAAACCTCTTTGAGCTGAGACGTGGGATGAAATAAATGAGTGTGCACACCATATGATGCCTCTAGTCATGGGACGCTTGCTTGTCCCTGAATCTAAGGCTGTTGAAATTAGGAAGCAGTTGGGCAGAAATCCGTCTTTTGTTGATTCCCCAGCTAACTATGTAGTGCTAGCAGGTGTTTAAAAGTTGGCACAGAAGGTGCCTTCTGGATCTCAGTTGGCAGGGGATTCCATAGCACTGGGCCTAAGATGCCAAAGGCTCAGTTTCTTGTCACTCTCAAGTGAGCGCCACCAACTCAGGGAATGGCGAACGATCCTCTTCAAGATGATCTTAGTAACTGAGTTGGAGTACAGGGTTCAGGTGATCCCTAAGGTACACTGGACCTAAGTCATTCGGGGGCTTTGTAAATTAAAACAAGTAGCTTGAACCTGGCTTGATAGTAAAGGGGCAGTGAGTGCACTTGCCACTTGTTTCAGAATGAAAGGAAACTGAACCAAAAGAGTCCAGTGCAGTTAAAATTTCAAAAAAACAAAAAAACTCCACCTAAAAAATGCCACTAGCCCCAAAACACTGGATCAAATCACATACAAATTCAAGTACAATTATAGTTGATTGGAGCTGTTGCACAACAAATCAATTTTCCCAAAGATGGGAAATTGGTGAGGAAATGCACAGGATCACACTTGCTTTGGTATAAACGCCACCTAACTACCCTGAAAAGAAATTCAAAGGAATGCTCATTAAATAGCCAAAAGCTCAATAAACGGCCGTAAGCAGCCGGCTCTTTAAAGATGATTCTGAGTCGGCAGAACCTGTTTGCATTGTCTGTCTACTTTGCTGGGTTTTTATTTTTTTCAGATTGCTGTTGTTTTAGTTAGTGAGATCCCGCTATTATATCCTGCTCCTATGTATTTTATTTTATTTTTGGACTTTTACTATCTTGTTTTGTTGAAATCTTTTGCATTTCATATTTTAGTGTTTTATGATTGTTTGCCACTTTAGGTTTAAGTGCAATATTGGGGGGGGGGGATTAAAAGCATGTTTCCCCACCACCACCCTCAGATCTTTTGAATAATTGTTTTGGAGTGGGGGATAAAACCCGTTAAGAGTTTTCTTAATGGGAGGCACATTTCCCCCCATCCTCCTCCATTACAAATGATATATTGATTTATTGATTTTAATACACATTTTTGCTCTGTTCAACTTGTATGGAGTGAGGGAAAGGAGCTGCAGTTAACAAAGCTGGTGGGGGGGAGCCACAAAAGGTTGGGTGGAAGTTTTCGGAGGGGGGGGTAGAAGCTGTGGTTTTCCTTTTGGCCTGGGAGCTCTGCAGTGCTGGTGCCTTGGACCAGCCCACCTCAGAGATGAAAAATCTGGACAGAGCCTTTGTCCTTGATGGGCAGTTCTTGGAAAGAGGAACATTAAGGCCCGGGAGGGGGGGTCCAGGGGGAAATGCTTTTCCTGGGGGGGGGGGGAATTGGCAGAGGGAAAAATTAAAAAAATGTTCAATAGTAACGGCCCTTCTGCAAATACCAATCTTCAGGGAGGGGGCTGTTGGGGTGGTAGCACGGGGGTTTACACACCCACACCATTTGCCAAGAGCCTGATCACTCGCTTCCCATGAATGCCATTAAACAAGAAAACAATGTAGACAAGTGAAAATCAATCATGCATTGGAACACATGGAATAGTTTGGCCTTATGTGTAGCAATAACTCACACCTTCCTGCTTTCAAAAGCGAAATGCTTGGGATGAGAGAACGATGCACCAGCCAAGATTTTTTGAAAAGCCCATCCTGGAAACCCCTCTCCCTTTTAATCTCTATGCAAGATTTAACAAGGCCAAAGTCCCCTCTCCCCACAAAGAAACCCAAGCCAGCATTTACTGAGATGGATGGACCCTCTTTGAAAACAGGCTTGGCTCTTCCCCTCTCAGTCGTCCACATCATGCTCTTTCTCCGTCAGCCCTGACATGTTTGGGGGGTTTTGGAGATAAGTCCCAAGAGGGACAGGGCTGCAGTGCAGCTCTCCATCCTTTGCTGGTACGGTGGTCACTTAAAGCCCCACCCCAAAATGACCCTGCGGTCGCTGTCTTCCAGTGCCACAGCTCTCTGCACCCTCAAAGATCATGCAGACCATGTCTGCTTTTCATAAGAATAAAATCAGATGGGTATTCTTTCCACTCCACCATAATGCAGTTGTTGAACAAGCGATTCTAACAGTGCAATTTTAGGCATGGATTCTTGGGACTCTCTAGTTCTTTAAAAATAATAAAATAAAAAAAAATCTAGTCTTGTGGCCCTGAAGGTTGAGCAATGAACGAGGAAGTTCTTGGTTTAAATTGTCTCTTCCATAAACTTACTGGGTTCTCCTAAGCAGTTCATTGATTTTTATTTTTTTATAATAATTTTTATTGGTTTTTCCAAATATTTTCCATCATAACATCAATCTTATAAATAAATAAATAAAAAACATTTGGCTATATAAGTCTAGAACTTCCCTCCTCCTCGACTAATGGTTTTCCAACTTAATCTCTAATATGCATTTTATTCTTATTAATATTACTATTAGATCCTAATCTTAAATAAACCATTTGTAAATTGCATTTAGTAATAAATGATAATTTAAGCCTACAAAGGTTCTTGTAACCCTATTAGCGATGTCAGTTGTTTACAGTCATCTTTCAAATACAACATAATTTTGTTCCAGTCTTTCAAGAAATTCTGGTCCTACTGGTTCCAAATTTTCCCAGTCACTTTCGCCAATTCGGCATAGTCCATTAATTTCATCTGCCACTCTTCTTTCAATGGTATCTCTTCCTGTTTCCATCATTGGGCTAATAATTCTCACTGCAGTTGTAGCATATAAGAATAATGTTTGATTCTGCCTGTGTGCTTCTCTACCTACAATTCCTAATAGGAAGGCTTCTGGTTCGCCTAAGCAGTTTAAGGATGATCGTACTGGTCAACCTTACATGGTTGTTAGTAAGCATCTAATGCAGCTGTGCAGTGGCAGACCTGCATTTTTTGGGCCCTGGAACTTGAGTTGTCATGGGGGCCCCTTAGCAACCAACAAGGTTCTCTTCTTCAATGGGGTTGTTGCATGACAGATCACCACACTTTTACAACATCTGTGCTCCTGACTCTCAAACTCTGGGATTGTTGAAATATATACAACAACAAAAACCAATTTGAGTGGTGCTACTTCATGTGGATGAAGGTCGTTTCTGGAGCTCCTCCAGGCAGAGGCGTAGCATGGGCAAGTCTGGGGCACCATCACCCCAGGTGCAGGGTTTTTTTGGGAGGGGGTATTCCTCGCAATGTCATCCAGCTGGAGAGTGGGTGAGAAGGACGCAACAGGCCCGCACCCTGGCAGCCCGCACTGTTTTTGCAAGTCTTGCAAAGTGGTGCTGGGCTTGTAGGGCGCCGTGAGTGCACTCCTCAAAGCAGGGTGGCACTGGCTGGGCAGGCAGTGCAGTGCAGTGCAGTGCGGCCCCACTTAGCTCCGGTGGGTGGAGATCGTTCCAGCAGTGCGCCCTCCCCCCACAAGGCAGTTCCCGCACCTGGCACACACGTACCTGCCCTGGGTGCCAGCAAAGAATGCTCCGCCACTGCCTCTAAGATCGGGGCCCTGAAACATTAAGCTTCATTCGTTTCATAGGAAATCTTCATAGGAGATCTGTGAAGTGCTCTGAGCACTTTGAAGCACAGTGGCAGGGCTAAATATGATGAGCTGGAGTGGAAGAGACGTTCAAGTAAAACGTGCCGTATTGAGCTGACATGTATGACCAACAGCCATTCCCTCTTCTCTCCCCCCTGCCTCCCCCCCCCCCCCAGTAGCCCTGGGAACTGTAGCTTAGAGGGTGTTTGGGATTAGCACAGCACCCTAATGAAACCACAATGGGGTGCAGGGAAGAAACCTTAGTAGCTAAACTGGTATAAAAAGTAGCAGTGTGGACATGCTACAATCTGGGCTGGGAGATGCTCGCTGTTTGCCAAGCTCCCTGTTCTCCACCCCACTCTGCCACCACCTGCTTTCGCACAATCTTTCCAGCAGAGCAGCCATTTTGCTGTGCTTCTCTGCCTATTGTCCAGAGACTATCCCACCCTTAAACTGGTCATCTAATCCATTGGTCCTTTTTTCTCTGGGCTACTCTTTCAGAATAAAAAAAAAATAGTTGGTGCTGCACTGAATTTTTAATTGTTAACAAAAACAAACAACCAGCAGTGCATGATTTATAGCACAGAACCCAACTACTTTATAATAAGATCACAGGACAACCAGAAAGTATAAAACAATGCAGCTACAGAGGAACATGAATCATTCCCAAAATATAATTATAAACAAGCCTCTTGCAATAAGTATGTATACAAACTCAGCGAGAGGAGTGAGCGTGTTTTTGCTGGGTAATCTCATTTACATTTGGGTCTTACTTGAGACAAACTCTCTCCTCAACAGAAAGAGAAAGAAGCCTTTCTCTTTTCCAGTCTTTCATATTTGTCCAAGTTGAACATCCCTGTTCACAACAATATGGAGAACTGTAGAAGAATAGCCAATGCTCTTGCTCTCATTTTGAAAAAGTATCCCGCCACACTTGTCATCCTCTCCTGCCACATCCTTTGAGAATCACTGATCTAATCTCCCAGTTCACTAGATATCTATGCAGCTAATGCTGACCTGAGTGGGAAAGCTTCTGGCCCTCCAGAAGTTGCTAGACAACGGCTCCCAGCATCACCCTCTAATAAGCCTTGGTCTTTCTGACTGGGGCTGATGGGAGGTGGAGTCCTGCAACATCTGGAGAGCAAGATGTTCCCCATCCCTGATGTAGATGGACCATAAGCCCTCTGGGCACAGACTTCACATGTTCCATGCGCTGCACTGACCCTTGCCGCAGGCTTGCCACTTCATTGCCCTTTAACATGTTGATTTAAAAAGAGAGAAAAGGTAGCTGTGGCCCTGCCTCTTCCTTCCGTGGCTCTTTTGCTTGCCCCTTCTTGCCTGCCATGAAGGGTGGGGAGCAGGTGCCTGAGGGAGGGAGATGCTGAGTACACAGGCCGTGGGAATGTATCCTAGTTGTGTTTTGCTTCTTGCATCTGGCTAGCTGCATCAGGAGGCAAGGAGACCTGCTGGGTCACCCAGGCCACATCCCTCCAGAATTAGCAGGCTAGGGCTGCTTGTATCTTAAGTCTAAACTTGCACAATGCATAGGAGGAGAGAGAGAGAGAGAGAGAGAGAGAGAGAGAGAGAGAGAGAGAAGAGAGAGAGAGAAGAGAGAGAGTGAAGAGAGAGATTAGTATAGAATCCAGCATCCCCCTGCGGCTTGCCTGCCTAAAGATAAGTGATATGTGAATCAGGCCAGATTCTGGCCCCACTGTAAAGACTTGAATTGAGCTATACAGTGGTACCTTGGGTTACAAACTTAATTCGTTCCGGAGGTCCGTTCTAAACCTGAAACTGTTCTTAACCTGGGGAGCGCTTTTGCTAATGGGGTCTCCCGCTGCTGCCGTGCTGCCAGCACATGATTTCCGTTCTCATCCCGGGGCAAAGTTCTTAACCCAAGGACAGATCCTGAAGCTGAGGCTCCAAACTTTGGTCACCTCATGAGAAGAGAAGACTCCCTAGAAAAGACCCTGATGTTGGGAAAGAAGGAGGGCACAAGGAGAAAGGGATGACAGCGGACGAGATGGCTGGACAGTGTTCTCAAAGCTACCACCATGAGTTTGACCAAACTGCGGGAGGCAGTGGAAGACAGGAGTGCCTGGCATGCTCTGGTCCAGGGGGTCACGAAGAGTCGGACACGACTAAACAACAACACAACACTACGTCTGGGTTAGCTGAGTTTGTAACCCAAGGTACCACTGTAGTTTGCTGGAACATTATCTGTGAAACTTGTTTTGAATGCCTGGGGACAACCTGGGAATTTATTAAGCATAATGACAAAACTTTCTGCCACCTGTGCACCTGGTGCCTTTCTTTCATTAACTGCAGCCTGCCCCACAGACGTAGGAAGCTGCCTTGTATCACATCCGACCCATTGGTCCATTTAGTTCAGCGCTGTCCACACAGACTGGCAGGGGCTTTCCAGGGTTCCAGCCGAGGGATGACTGGAATTTCACTTCAGAAGAAATGGGTTTTTGCCTTCAATCAAATGCGAACCCTGGAAAGGAGCCAGTGGTCACTTCCAGACAAAGCGAACGTTGAGTAATCTCTTCGATTTGCTTTCACGGAATTTGTGCAGACGTTATACAACATCACTGCCGAGTGGTTTTTATCTTACCACACAAAGTCCTACTTATTTCTTTACTGGAAATGGATCCGTTATGCAATAGCACTGTTTAGCCATTGTTGTTTATTGCAACGTAGCCTTTTTCTTTTATGGTGAGTTATGAAGATGCATTCTTATTGCGCAAAGGGCGTTATCGGCATCTACTTGAATATATGTGTGATCCTGGCAGGAAGTGCTAAAGTCCAAAAGCACCCACTATCCTAGGTTTAACAACAACAGCAACAACAACACAACCCACTGAGAACCAAACCCAGATCTGAGAGGCTTTGGTTTCATCCCACAGGGACAAGCCTCTAGGGTCTGAGTTATATAGCAGCCCCCTCCCCGGTGCTCCGTCATGATTTCTGAGCACCCTTCTGGGAACATAAATGGGGCATTGGCAGTTTCTGCCCTTTATTTTCATGGAATTCTTGCTTTTTAAAACATTTTTGGTAGCTTTGGGTGGCATGGGTGATATTAAGGATTGACAAATACGTCAGTTTTGTTTTGCCTCAATTTCTCATCTTTGCAACCTTAAATTCAGCTTTCCACATTCCGGCAGCCATTCGGTTTTTTTAAAAAAAACAAAAAACATGAAAAAATTGTCAGCATTTTTGTGTGAAGTTCACCTAATATTATTGCAAGCAATTTCACCTAATGTAATGCATTTTTTGTGTGGTGTTTTCACAAATGTATGCATTTATGCACATTTCCCCTGAATATATGAATTTTGTACCCATTATTAGGTTGGGGAACTGCATTGCAAAATTCAGAAAAGTGCAAATTTCTTGTGTTTGGATTCAAGGAGTGTGAATTAGGTAGTCTCTTATTAAAATGCAAACAGTATAGAACTTCTCCCACATCCTAGTGGTATTAATATCTCATGGAATGCCTTACGCCATGTGCTGCTGTCCAGTCACCTTTTGAGCAGAGCCCTGTGCTCTTGATGTCCCCTCCAAGATAATCGGGAGCCAGGTGTTGCAGCACCTGCCTTATGAAACACCTTTCCTACTTATATTAGGCAAGCACCAGCCGTGTTAAGCTTCAGACTCTTGCTTTGGTATTTTTCTTTTCGGAGGCTTTCCCTGAAATGTGACCTCAGAGCTATGTACTGTGATTCATTTTATTCTGAATTTCATGATAGGTGTTATGCAGCTAAATTTTGCTCAGGGTAGATCTACTGGAATTAAATGACCTTAAGTTTGTTATGCTCATCAGTTTCTAGGGGGTCTACTCTAAGTGACACTTGGTTGAATAGCACCAATTGTTGAAAAGGTATGTGGTATTCTCTTATTCAGAATCACTTTGATACATAAACTTGGGTAATAATTAAAGTATGGGAAAGTGAGCATGTGTTTGTGCATGTGCTGGGAGCATGCAGCAGGTGGGGGGAGAGTGTTGCAGGAAAACATTTAAGTCAAAATGATGTTTGCCAGCCAAAAACTGATATGTGCTTCCTACATGCTTCAATGAAGCATTGGCACCATATGTGAGCATGAAGGTTGGGAACTGACTTCCACCTAATCTGGGCCACCTACTATTTGCTTCCCTTCAGCAAGCAGGCTAAAAGTGGGGATGGAACTGGCCTTTGGGGATGCATGCTGTAACCTGGCATGCATCTTCTGAGACACTTTCCACACACACATTCCCAATTTCTTTGGGATTGTAGTCCAGTTCTCAGTTTGAGGTTAAGATCCTGTGCACACCTTATTGACATTAAACTCCATTGAACACAATGGGATTTAACTTCTGAGTGAGCATGCATATGCTTGATTGCACCATAAATAACTAAAGGAGAAGGAAAATCACCCTGTTGGTACGCTAGAGCCTATTTGAGGGCAGTTTCTCCAGATTTCATGATGATGCAACATACATCCAGTGAATCCCACCCCCTATAGACCCCAACTTGTCTTTGTAAGGTTTGCGCATTTTGGTTTTGGTTTTAAATCCAGTAGCAACAAATACTATGGTTAATCAAATTAGTATCCATCACAGCTGTTCATTTCAAATCTGTTCTAGGAAAGAACCATCATTTGTTGGAAGAGCACCAGCTTTGCCAGCAGAAGATCTCCACTTCAGTCTCTGCGATCTCCACGTAGGGCTGGGGGAAAAAACCTCTCCTGAGACTCTACCACAGGGGTGGTGAACCCACAGTCTGCATATGGCCCAGGTATATATATAAAGGCTGCAAAGCTACTTCTGGTGGCCTAGCAGCCCTTTCCCAAAATCAGGCACCTCCTCCTCTTCCCCCCAATGTTCTTGCAAAGGTGCGTCATCTCCCTCTGGTGCGGCACCATCCTCTTTCCTGTGTGCAAAAATCTTCTAGCAGCAGTGATGTTCCTGTTGCAGTGCTAAGCTAGGAGGAGAGGTTCCTCTCCTAGCCCAGCCCAGCGCAGTGATGAGGAGGACAGATGAGGTCTCTTGCTCTGTAGGGACTATTTTCTGAAGATCAAGAGACAGTGTTTCTGCTCCTCCCTTGATCTTCAGGGAACAGTGAGAGCTGCTAGAGGCAGTACTGAGCTAGATGCCAGGGTTTGGCCTAAAGGTACGTGAGGCAGACACCTGGCGGCAGCTAGGCAGGTCTGGGTCTGTTTAGTACCTGAATGGGTGACCACCTGGGAGTCCAATGAAGGGCACATTGAGTTCCGTGATGAAAAGAGGCTGGGATATAAAGGCAGTAAATTTAACTAGATGGGCCAGTGGTCTGACTCGGTATAAAGTAGCTTTCATAGAATCATAGAATCATAGAGTTGGAAGAGACCACAAGGGCCATCGAGTCCAACCCCCTGCCAAGCAGGAAACACCATCAGAGCACTCCTGACATATGGTTGTCAAGCCTCTGCTTAAAGACCTCCAAAGAAGGAGACTCCACCACACTCCTTGGCAGCAAATTCCACTGTCAAACAGCTCTTACTGTCAGGAAGTTCTTCCTAATGTTTAGGTGGAATCTTCTTTCTTGTAGTTTGGATCCATTGCTCCGTGTCCGCTTCTCTGGAGCAGCAGAAAACAACCTTTCTCCCTCCTCTATGTGACATCCTTTTATATATTTGAACATGGCTATCATATCACCCCTTAACCTCCTCTTCTCCAGGCTAAACATGCCCAGCTCTCTTAGCCGTTCCTCATAAGGCATCGTTTCCAGGCCTTTGACCATTTTGGTTGCCCTCCTCTGGACACGTTCCAGTTTGTCCGTGTCCTTCTTGAACTGTGGTGCCCAGAACTGGACACAGTACTCCAGGTGAGGTCTGACCAGAGCAGAATACAGTGGCACTATTACTTCCCTTGATCTAGATGCTATACTCCTTTCGATGTTCTGCATTACAGGACTTCTCTAATCTTGTTCTGAAACATTCTCCCATCGGTAACTTGATGGAATGCAAGACTTGCTACATTTTGGAGGTGGCAGGGAAATGCTTTGCTTGCTCTTTCATTTTAATAGTGAGCATGGATGGGTTAGATGGCTCTGAATTTAGCTCACCGTGTATTGGTTTTGCTATTTTTGTTGCAATACAGCTTCATCTTTTGTTTTTTAAAACTGAAGTCATTTTGCTCCTTGTGCGCTCACTGCCATGAGTTGTTTGATTGGCAGGTTTAAAAATGGCAACAGTCCAGAGGAAAATAAATTAAGTGGGAAAATAAATAAGCAAAATGCCACTTAAACCAAAGGACCTAGGTGGTTAAATGGGAACCAGGTGGCAGGTGGTTCCACCAACTTTCCTCCTGAAAACATCTGAAACTCAAATGTAGTGTAGTGAATCTAGGGTGAGCCCAGGACCACAAGAAGCTGCCTTCTCCAAAGTCATACCGTTGGCCCATCTAGCTCAGTATTGTCTACACTAATTGGCAGCAGCTCTCCAGCATTTTGGATTGAGGTTTCTCCCAGCCGTACCAGGAAATGCCAGAAACTGAACATGGGACCTTTTGTGTGCAAAGCAGATGCTCCGTCTTTGCGCTACGGCTCTTCTGCTGCATGTGGCACAGCGAAGGAGCCACAGGACAAGTGGAGAAGGGGACACTGGGCATGCACTAATTCGGCAGTGCAGACAAGAAGTCCTAAAGCTCGACCTTCGCAAGTCCCATTGAAGTGAATGGGTGCTTCAGTTGGGGAACCAGGCCTGTGGCATAATTACAGCTACTAACACAGAAGTCTCCCACAGCTTGTGCAGCTCCAGCCTTTCTAACAGAATTTCAGGAGCAGAAAGAACCTATTTGCAGCATCCAGGAGCACAAAGTGCTCCAAGATTTCTTTGCCTAAAGTCTGATTAGGGGACTTCTCTTTATTTCCCCCTGTGCTTTGGATTTGTGAGAGTTGTTTGCACTGCAGAAAGGAAAAAGAGGAAATGTGTAGGGTAGTAATGCCTCTGATGTCTGCCCCAATCAGATGCTGCTTACTCAGGTAGCAATACTGATGGATCTGAGCAGGACTGAGGATTGTTCCTTATGCACTCACAGCCTGGCCAATGTTAGCTGCTACTTAAGCCCCATTGATTCTAATGGAAGGACTGAGCACATGGATCATGGGACTTAGTAAAGGTAAAGGGACCCCTGACCATTAGGTCCAGTCGTGACCAACTCTGGGGTTGCGACGCTCATCTCGCTTTACTGGCCGAGGGAGCCGGCGTACAGCTCCCGGGTCATGTGGCCAGCAGGACTAAGCTGCTTCTGGCGAACCAGAGCAGCGCACGGAAATGCCGTTTACCTTCCTGCTGGAGCCGTACCTATTTATCTACTTGCACTTTGACATGCTTTCGAATTGCTAGGTTGGCAGGAGCAGGGACCGAGCAACAGGAGCTCACCCCGTCACGGGGAATTGAACCGCCAACCTTCTGATCGGCAAGTCCTAGCCTCTGTGGTTTAACCCACAGCGCCACCCGCGTCCCTATATCATGGGACTCACAGGCTACAAAAATCCAGTACGTGCTGTATATATTTGGAACTTACTGTAAGTACTTTGCGCTGGCTTGCAAGGTGCCCATGATCATTGTCAAGGTACGAAGAACCAACCTAGAGAAAATGGAAACCTCCATAGGCCATCAGTCTCGGGCTTGCATCAGTTCTAACTGTAGCCCAGCTGAGGGGTGTTGTCCTCCTGACTGAATGACCACGGAGCTAATGTTACCCAGACTCATCCTGAAGGTTGAGGGGCCAAGGGGAAAGACTCTCAGGTTGGTTAGATTCCCCCACCCCCATGCTACAGCTCTCCTTCCTCCGGCAGCAGACAATATTTTTCCAACATATGGCAGAAAACAAAAACTGAATTCAGCCGAGGGGGGGGGGCATCATGAGAGGTTATTGCCCTGTGGGAGAGAGTAGCCACAGGGTCAGAGATCAGGCTAGGTCTGATATACTTTCCTCTTTCCGGGTGATACTCTGCCTGCAGCAATCTCAAAGAGCAATCACCGTTTTCTTCGGCATTAATTGCCCTGTTTTGTTTTCATCCCATCCCAGGGGCTTAAGCCATGGATGGGACATGCTAACCAAGAAGATTGTTCCAGCATGTGCAGAGCTGATCCTGGAGTGTGTGCTTTTGAATGTACACTTTTGCGGGTGATGCCACTGTCCGAGGTAAGATTTGGCATTTCCAGGGTTGCACCTACATGGTTCTGAAATTCCTTTGCAGGGTGTTGGCAGGGTGATGCATCAAATTTGTTCCATTGACCCCATTAGGAGGACAGGGCAAGCTACTTAATTCAATCATTTCTCATTATTTTGAAGAATTGATGCCATTTCCTGTTTTTACAAGCATTGATTTTGATATATATTTCTGCTTGCTAGTTTTCAATTTGAAATCAAATGTTCCCATTTTTATAAAGGTGTTGGTCAGCTGCTTTGGGGAGCAGCTGGTCCAGAAAAGCAGGCTATATACTGAAGAAGTCAACAGAATGATCGGAGGTGGACGGGGTTGTCTTTTAAAATGTCAAGCAGCATTCTGCAGAAACCTCTCCTCACTGGGGGGGGGGGGGGAGCCCAGACCTGCAAAATTGGAATATTGACTGTGGAGTTTGTAGCACATTTCTGTGCAGCTTCACTTGGAAGTAAGTCCCAATGAATTCCATGGGACTTAACTAACCATCTAAATGTGTACAAGATTGCAGCCTTCATTTTTGAAAGCTTCCATCCTCTGCATGCTTACTTGGAGTTTTGGTAGCCCTAAAGTTCAGTGGAACTTAACTTTGAGCAGGGGAGTATTTAGGAGGTGGCCTAGAGGGCCCACGTCTCGTTTCTTTTGCAGCAGACCTCGCATCTCCTGCCTCCCCTTTTTAAAAAGAAATATATATTCACTTTCCCTATTTCATCCGGGTGAGACCTCTGCTCCCCACTGCAATTTATCAGAGGCATCTATCCATAGAAATCAGCATATGCAAATATTATGCAGAGTTGCGCCCTGGGCCTCTGCCCCAAGTCTTTAAGCACTTTAAGCAGAGCTGTAAGGACTGGGCCGCATGGACCCTGGCTTGCTTTCTTTTTTCATAAGGCATAGGAAGCTGCTCCTGAAGAGAGAGATGCCTGGTCTGTCCAGCTCAAGCGCAGTACTCTTGGCATGGATTGCCAGTGGCTCTCCAGGGTTTCTGACAGAATTACTTCCCAGCACTACCTGGAGATGCCAGGATTTGTACCTTGGGACCACCTGCACACAAAGCAGATGCGCCACCACCACTATCTCTTCCCCTACCCTAAGCTTTCTAGTCCTTATGGTTGCAAGACTATGCTTGCTGAACAAGAGTTCTGGCGACCAGAAGACTGGGCTTCCCTGCTCTGTCACATAGTTATTTGCATCACTTCAAATAACTTCAAATAACAGGTGCGGGGAAATGTATGCAAAGGAAGAATAAAATGTAGGATAAATGATGCAAAAGAAGAGAGGTTGTGAAATTTTGCCCATATCTTATATGGGTCACAGAATTATGCTTTCCTTGTTGCAGAATTTTGGGGTACGTTAGTGCAAGTTTCCCTTTTTTTGGTCTTGGCATCAGATACCTGTTTGATATGAATAAGTAACCTTATAACATTCTTTAACTCCCTGGGCAACCTTAGTGACATCCAGGACCAGATTCTTCAGTTTCTACATGAGAGAAATCCAGGTTGGGGGGGGGGCAGGGGAAGGGATCACAGCTAGTGAAATCCTTCCTTCCTGGAAACCCTTAAAGTCACAGCAGACTTGTCAGGCTGTCAAGCAATGTAGCCAACTAGGGGTGTCTAAAACCTGCCTTGGTATTTCTGCCTCCCCACATGCTGTTTTACAATTATTCTGTTTTGCAATGCAGATCCGAATCTTTGTTCTGCAGTGCATTTCATGTGCATCTATTAACTGAGGTAGGCATATCTGTGCATCATGTTTCCTGTTCAAGAGCATAGAAGCCAATGTGTGTTTAGCTTGTTTGCGCAACACCCTGCAAAAAAATTTGGGTGGCTGTGTGTGGATCTGATGGTAATAATTGCAAACTGGCTCCCTGACTATTCAGGCTATGAATTTACAGCAGGAAATTTGCAGTTTAATGCACCAAAACTGAGCCAATCATACCACGCAGCAAAGTGATGCAAGCTGCTTCAGACGGCTGAATTTTGGGTGCTTTTCAAAAGCAGCATTTACCCAAGCCTGCCATGATTTTTAAAACCATGTCCAAAGGAAATCATTGGCCTCTGCAAGAAAATAATAGATAAAGTCAGGAATTTATGTCCAAATGGTTCAGTGAGACTTTTTAAAAATGTTGACCCTAACTGCAGAGGGAAGTGGGGTAGCATTTAAGGTCTACTTGAGGCAGCAAGGAGCGCATAAATATTTGTGGCATAAAAAATGATCAGACAACAGCAAAGGTTTATAGAGGGTGCAATGAGATTAAGGGCCACTATCTGAATGATAATCTTGGCCATTTGATTGCCCTTTTTACCCATTGCTGTCTTTTTTATTTGTATATATTTTATTTGTATATATTGCTTGTTTTATGTTGCTATGGCCGTTGGCTAATGCGAATAAAGTTTGTCTTATCTATTTGTGGCATCCCAATTTAAAACCATATCTGCAGTGGTGCAGTTTTAATCCATGTTTGTGATTACACATATGGAAGCAGGAGATGCTAGCTGATTACATTTATATAATGCCAAAAGTGTGGTTTTATTCTGAGGGAAGTATACATCATTTTCACACATAGAAATAATGATCAGGTGCCATTGTTATCCAGGGCAGGCACATGAACAGGCATCCAGGCGATCATGTGTCTTTGCTTGACCGGCAGATTGGCTCTTTTTATCAGCCTCCATTTCCAAATCTGTGAATTGGGAACAGCAGAGCTGGCTTCTCTTGCAGGAACATGAAAAGATGGTTTGTGCATAATATACAAAAATCAGGATAGCTTTGGAAGTCATGTTATGAAGTGTGTTTGGGGCTCTGGCATGCCTATTTGTCTCATTATGAATGCGTTTAATATGGAGGAGAATTGTGGGGGATTGGATGTACGTTTCAGTGAGTGTAGGTTTTATATTTATATTAGAAATGGATGAATGCAATGTGTCCCTGGTGAAAAAATTGTTGGCCTGCTTATAAAGGCGATATGGAATGGGTCTGCCTTCCAAACACAAAATAAAGATAAAACATTGTATACAACATTAGTCATACTCCAAACTGGATCATTGAAATCAGAAGGCACAATTTAGTCCTCTCGATTCATTTCAGTGGCTCTACTCTAAATATGACTGACGTTGGATTACAACCTACAGCCAAAACAGAAAGCAATTTGTACTTAATTCCCTATAATCCAGCTCTTCATTTAAAAGGATAAAGGCATCTTCTGGGCCTGACCATCTCTGAATTTATCTGGATTTGTGGACAAGCCATTGGCAGGAATCGGTATCTGAATGGTGAAGTGAGACTTTACAAAAATGTTGGTCTCGGTGGGCTCTGCTTAGGCACCAAGAGAGAGGGGGAGAGAGAGACCGTCTTGGGCTGGCACTGCATCAGGCACAGAAAATGATACATATTTGTGGCATTTCTGCTTACATAAATACTATTTATAGAAATAAATGGTTCATGAAATTTGAATACACATGAACATATAGGCTGAGCTTAATCAAACACATAAAAATGCCCAGCTCAAGCATGTCGGTTTCAGCTGAGATCCAGCACCTGCTTGGCATATCCAGCAGTTTGTGGTGGATTTTACTACTGAAATCCAGGAACAAAACAACAACCCAAGTTGCTGACCCAAGTTTACCTTTCCCCCCCAGTCCCATGCAAAGTTCTGCACAGTCATAAGCACCATCTTTTGAATGCAAGTCCTACCAAATGCAGAGGGGCTTGCTTCCAAAGAAGTGTGCTTAGGATGCAGTTCTTGTATCCCTGCTCAATGTCTTCATGAAATGCCATGAGATTTTTTTTTAGTTTTTTTACAGGGGACAAATGACAGTGTGCACATTGTTTTATGCTGGTGTCTTAGAGAGAGGAGTCATTTGCCTGTAGTGTGGTTATTCCTTACCCACTATCTTCTCCTGGCAAGCAGGTCTGGGGACCAGAAGTGACTGTGGGATGAAAGAAAGGCATGTGTCCATCGGTTGCAGGAATGTGCCACTTTCAACTTCCACATTGTCTCTGTGTAGTCTAAAACTGCTCAGATCTAAAGACTGTCAGGGTACCATGTTTTTTCAGCCTTCTGACCAGAAAGCCCTTATGCCTAGTTGCAGATATCTGGCAGCTGGTTATGGTTGTTCACTGGTGATTGGAAAGATATTTTGCACATGCCCAAAGTTGTGCTTTTTTTGTATGTGCACTATAACTTTTTACAGTTAAAGAGCAGTCTGCAGCTAACCATGCCCTGGTCCTGGAACTCAGCCTAGAGAAGAAGTGCAAGGTAGGAGAAGAGCATGGAGGAGGACATACCTTCCCGGTGGGTCTCAGTGGGATGCTGACATGGACCAGGCCCCTTCCATCCTCCAGACAGAGAAGGCGTAGCTGAGCCTCTCGTGGGCCAGGTAGTTGCAGCTGGAGATCTTGTGGTCGAGCTCATCGCTCTGCAGAACCTGGTAGAGGAAGTCGATGTATCGCGCTGCCAGCTTGAGTGTCTGGATCTTGCTGAGCTTGTCGGAAGGCAGCGTGGGGATGATTTTGCGCAGTTCAGCGAAGGCATCGTTCAGCGACTGGGTGCGCTGGCGCTCCCGCACGTTGGCAATCACCCGCTGCGTGTGCATGTCCTCGAAGGTCTGTGGCACAGGGCTGCGCTTGCTGCGCTTCCCCTGGGGCGAGGGGGCGCTGCACTCCTGCAGGGGAGCCGAGGCCAAGGGTTTGCCTAGTTGGGTCCTCTTGCGCAGGCCTTTTTTGGGGACCCTCTCGCTCTCCTCCTCGCTGGTCACCAGGCTCCCCTCCGGTGAATCTGGGCACATGCTTTCCTCTTTCATCCTTTGCGAATCTCCTTCCCTTCCCTCTCAGTAGACGCTGAGGCAAGGACTTGGATCTAACAGGCCATGGTGCATCCAAGCCAAGGCGACCCGAGGTTCAAATGGGGCAACCTTAAGGGTGGGACCCTTCCAAAAAAAAGCCCCACAGCTTCCAGAGCGGCAGAGGCTTTCTGAGTTGCTCCAACCTTCAAGGATCTGCTTATTCACCCTCCTTTCCCTCCACCCTTCCTAAAGGGCTAAAGAGAGGAGGGACATTATGAAAATGTTGTTAATGCCCTTTACGGATAGGGTAAGGCGTTCCAGGGGAGGGGCCGTGCGCAGACCAATGCAGTCCTTCACGATAATGCAAACATCAAGAGAGCTTATGGGTTCCAGATTGCCTTCCTTTCCTCTTCTCTTCTCCCCCAACATCCTCCCCCCCCCCCAGCCCTTAGGCACAGATGCTCTAGCCAGCCGTTTGGATGCCAGAGGATGTTTCCCTCACCCACTGTAATTGACAAGGGTCTGCCGGGGCTGACCCCTGCCCACAACCTTGTCAATGAAGATTGCAAAGCAGTTGTTGCATTGGGTTGGTGCCTTCGCTACTGATCAAAAGATAAATGGGGCAGCATTTGCTGCTGCTTGGTGGACTCTTTGGGGCTACTTATTGCAGTGCCACAAGCTTATAACGATGCAGGCTATTCTCAGGAGGAACAAATCGATATAGATATATCCGAGAGAGATGGGGAGTTTGCCATCTTGGTCACAGGGGATTAATAGTAGGTAAAGTGCTCCCTTCCCTGTGTCAACTTCTATTTACACAGGAACATACTGGTTTTAGAGTTAAACCAAATGCTTTGGCAAAAAAAGTCTGAAAAGGTAGTTTTTTCCATTAGAGACACAAGCATTCCAACCCAACCCTATGCTTTTTTTCTCATAAATGTCCCAGGGTTGTCTCTGGGACTTTACCAAGCAATCCTCTGCAGGTTTGCAGTCCCCATTTTGTTGAGATATCCCCACATAAGGGAGCGCAGGATCGCAGCCTTGCAGAGCAATTGTAAGGAGGGGTGGAGCCACTGCTGTTTTCAAAACCCAGCCAGCTTGTGTCAACCAGGGCAGAAGGAGCAGGGACAGTTTTGATTGTCCCCCCCCCCCCCACAGCTGAGGGACCCAAGGTTTGGGCCACCAGCCCCATTCCCTAGTGTCTGTCTGGGGACTTTCCACCAGCTACTGGTGGTGGGTAGAGCCAGAGGTGGATCCTCTCCATCAGCCAGCAATTCTCTCTGCTATGCATCTTAATGAACCAACCACCCCAACAACGGTGAAGGTGGCACATAAGAGTGGAGCCTAAAGCAACGACGGTGTGGCTGTAATCCTGTGCACCCAGTACTCTGGCCCTAGTGCACCTCCACTGCAAGGCAATGCAAAATCACTTTTAATATGCATGTATTTCAATGAATCTCGCTCTCTCTTTGAGAGGTAGCAATCCTATATAGGGCTTTGTGGGACAGAATGTGGCAGATGTTTGGCATTTCAGAACATGACTCGGCATTGGGCAGGCCTCTTGTCTGGTTGCCTCTGGCGAGCATAAACCTAATCCAGGTGACCATGCAAGCCAAATTCCATTTGATTCTGTCAAGCCACAGATAATTTAGCAGCTATGCTAATAAATCATTGTAGGCGTATGTCATCAGATGGGCTAACAAAACCTAGTGTGGACTAGTGACTCTGGGGGTTTGTCTTGTTTGGCAAGAGTAGTGTGGGACATTGGGATCTTTGAAAGGGGTAAGCCATGACTGTTCAAGTGGTATAGGAGTGGGTGGTGTGGAGATGGCCCCAGAAGGAGAAAGCAGGAGCAGCAGGAGAGAGGGGGCTGCCAGTGCCCAGCAGAGGGAGAGACGTATCACTGTCACTTTTGGCACAGCTCATATTCTCAAGTTCACTTTGCTACATTTCTCCATCCATTTGCATTATTAATCCTCATCAGCACAATGTGCATTTCTCCTTATCTTTTTGTGCAGTTTTGCTTAAAACAATACATTTTATATTACTTTCAGCAAGATGTGCACCTTAAAACACACTTTCCCCAAGTGTACACCATTTTGTTTGCAATTTTTTGGCTGTAGAAATACATCGCAAAATTCGGAAAAGTGTGAATTCTGAAGGATGGCTCTGTTCACAGTATTTATTTTTTTTGTTTTATTAAATATTTATTGGTTTAAAATACAAAGATACAAACGTATGTATGTTTGTATGTTCACAGTATTGTTTTGGAATGTAGGTTATATTCAAATAAGAACCAAATCCTCCCTCCCCATTCAACTATTAATTCCAAATATATCTTTTAAAAAGCAGTTTCGCCCATACGATTGCTCGAAGCAATGTTAATGGTGTCTCTGCAGTTTAAATTGTTAAAATATGTAGACCTTTTCCAGTCTTAAGAGGTGCAATGTATGGAAGTTGCATTTTCCTGCCTGAGGTTAGTGAATGATTTATGTTATTTCCGGGACCTTCAAGTTGGGAGGAAGTGCCTTTCGATGGCTGATATTGCAATGCCTTCAAAGGAAGTGATTGGTGCTGTCAAAGCTGGGGAAGCCTGAGGGATTTGATTTTGGGGAATTCCAGTATGAACTGACCTCCCATACTAATGTGGATAAGTTAATGTTTTAATTGTGGTTTCATGCGCTGCAAAGTGTCCCTGAGACCTTTTTATGAAAGGAAGGTAAGAGATATGTTGCTGTTGTTATTCTTAATACTGTGGATCAGAATCAAAATCCTTCAGATTTTGCACATCTCCAAATTTTGCACTGCAGTTCTCAGAGTAAAAAATGCATCAAAACACATTTAGGAATGCATTCAAGAAACTGAAATTCACTTATTTGTGTTTTTTCATGGTGTTTTTTTTTTAAAGCAAAACAAAACACAGATCAGTGTGGAAATGGTATGGAATGAATATAGGTAAAAGCAACATGGGGCTGTATCTAACGTTATTCCTACTCAAAGTAGACCCCTTGAAATGAATGAACATGGCATATTTTGATCCATTAATTTCAATGCAGCTATGGGCTGTGGGTTGCTTGTATGTGCTCTTGTCAGTAGCAGTGCCATGCTTTGACATGCTGGATTTTGGCTGGATTTGTGCATCCAAATTTTGCAACATTAATATTTGGATGGTTGGGTGGTGGGGGCAGCGGGGGCTATCAAATATATTTTATGCATCTTGATCCCTATTCAGCTCTGGGCATATGTTGTACACTCAAGAAATCACCTCAGAGAGGATGCAGGCACCATTCACAATGCATAAAATCCCAATCTATCAAGTTCAATGGGACCCAAATGAGTGTCTGGGTGCAAATACAGTGCACAGCCACATCTGCCATAACTGCGTTCCAATTTACTTATTGCAGGGTTGGCGAATCTCAGGCTTCGGAGCCAATTTTGGCTCTCCAGCCCTCTCTTTTTAGTCCTGTGGGCTCTGTCTAAGCTCCAACACTCTCTTGCCCTGCTCCACATCCTCTTTGAGGGCTTTAGCCTGGTTGGAATGCATCCCTGACCTGTGATGATGCCCCTTGCTTCCTCGGATGGAGAGATATGTTGTTGTGCAGAAACCAAACCTCTAGCTTCATGTGGATCTGAAATGTACCCAACTGTCACAACCTACTTGTGCTCCACCTATTTTTTGTAGCTAGCCCTGCCCACCACTGCACTGGCATGGCCAATGATGGTTTACCTGGGAGGGTGTGTGCTTCAGAGTCTGCTTTGCCAAACTGTTCTCTGGAGTACCTCCTTTCAACAGCTTGCCTGGGCTGCCTGCCACCCACACTGCTTGTTGGTTCTCCTGCCTGCTGTTTTGATATCATTCTGGAATTACATTGGCCACCTATTGATGGCCATGCAAACTGCAACGTGATGACAGGCTTACAATTCTAATACATAGTAAGATACATGTCTTTAATGGCTTTTTGATGGTTGTTGGCTATTAGTTAGCTAGTAATGTGCACAACCTTAGTAGGAGGTGGAGAGAAACAGCTTGGAAGATATCTGAGGTTTGCAGCTGACTGGAGGCTCCAAGCATATCCTTTGGGAGGAACTGATGTTGCTTTCACTACTATAACTGTTGGCCTGGGTGCTTTATTTTCCCTGTATTCTCAGTGTTACTGCATTTTTAAAGGAAATCACAAAACCCCACCATTACTTTCCAATGTGCTCTCCTTGCAAGAAAACTTTTGATCCTATTGCATTTGCCTCTGGAGCTTCCTCAGTGAACTGAGGATCCATGAAAAATGCCACTTCTTTATTTTCTTTTGACAAATAAAAACTTTATAAATGTCCCTCTTTTTTAAAACAAAAAGGCTTTTGGATACCTTTGGGTATTAGTTTTGTTTTTTACTAAGCATCATACAAATTTAGCTAGATTACAAATCAGAAAAACATGTCAGTTTTCAACAGAAGACAGAAAAAATGGGTTATGATTTCAAAAGACTTCAGACAGATGGATGAGCATTGGACAACATCAGGAATTTTGTGAGCCAGACACCTTCCCCTTAAATAGCTTTATTGCAACAGTGAGGAAGGTGACAGAGAGATTAATAATCTCTCAAGGGCTGAATGCAGAAGAAAGTTTGGGAAGTGGAAAGGAATTTAGAGAAAAAATGAAGTCTTTTTAATGGGTTCCTATTTTTGGTGTAATGATGAGTTAAACTTGGAATTTGCTCCCACCAACTTGGATGGCTTTTAAAAAAGAGTTGGCAAATTCATGGAGGATAAGGCAAACAATGGCTCCTAGTAGGGCTGGGCAATATATCAATATATCATCCAAAACTGATTTGAAGTCCATATCGTGATATTGGTTTCATAATTTTTGACCTGGCAATGTATTGTGAATTGTGTATGTGTGTGCTATGCAAAAATCACAATGTGGAAAAAATCATGACAGACACTGTGATATATCAGTATATTGCAATGTTTAGCTGGTCATCTATCACGATGTTGAAAACCAAGTATTGCCTAGCCATAGCTCCTAGCCACAATGGCTCCCCATATCTTATGTTCCCAACTTGTCAAAATCCAAAGATCCATCAAAACTACTCTGTCTCTGTCCTCTTCTTAACTTTTCA